GCAGGCGGGTGTCGTGGAGGGAGACTAGGAGCACTGGGGGGTGGGACTGTCAGGTCGCGGTGTTCTGGAGGGAGACTGGACCCTGGGGGGCGGTACTGGCAGGCGGGGGTGTGTCGTGGGGGGAGACTGGGGCACTGGAGGGTGGTATGGGCAGGCCGGGGTGTTGGAGGGGGGACTAGGCACATGGGGGTGTACTGGCAAGTAGGGGGGTGTTCGTGGAGGGGACTTGGGGCACTGGAGGGCTGGTACTGGGCGGTCAGGGGGTGTGTCGGGGGGGAACTAGGGAACATGGAGGGCTGGTACGGTCGGTCACTGTGTTGGAGGGGGAATAGGACACATGGGGGGCTGGACTGGTCGGTCAAACGGTGTGTCGTGGAGGGGGGACTGAGCACAGGGGGGTGGTATGGGGAGGGGTGGGTGGTCTGGGGGGGAGACTAGGGCACTGGGGGGCTGTCTGGCAGGGGGCCCCTTTTTTGTGGAGGGGACTGGGCCATGGGGGGCTGGTACTGGTCGGCGGTGGCTGGAGGGGGCTAGGACACTGGAGGGCTGTCGGTAGGCGGTTTGTCTGGGGGGACAGGAAAACCCCCCTGGGGGGGGCTGGTAGGTCAGGGGTGTGTCTTTTGGGGGCTAGGGCCTGGGGCCCGGGCTTCGGGCCCGCGGTGTGTCGGGAGGGAGACTAGGGGCACATGGAGGGCTGGGGTCTTTTAGTCAGGCGGTGTGTCGTGAGGAGATAGGGCACGGAGGGCTGGTTTGGGCATCGGGGGTGTCGTGGAGGGGGGAAATGGCAAGGGGGGCCACTGGTAGGCGGCGTGTTCGTGGAGGGGGACTAAGGGCACTGGGGGGCGGGGACGGTCAGGCTGGGGTGTCTGGGGGGGAGACAGGGCCATGGAGGGCGGGGGTCGGAGCGGTGTTCGGGAGGGGGAAAAAGCACATGGGGGCTGGTATGGGCAGGGCAGGGGTGTGTCGTGGGGGAGACTAAGGGAAAAGGAGGGGGTGGTTGGTCAGTCGGCGGGGTTTTCTGGAGGGAGACTAGGGGGCACTGGAGGGCTGGGCTGGGCATCAGGGGTGTTCTGGAGGGAGACTAGGGCCCTGGGGGGCTGGTATGGGCGGTCGGCGGTGTGTCGTGGAGGGAACTAGGAACTGGGGGGGCTGGGGACTGGTCGGGCAGGGGGGTGTGTCGTGGGGGGAGCCCAGACACATGGAGGGTGGTACTGGTCAGGGGGCGGGGTGCGTGGAGGGGACTAGAACAAAGAGGGCTGGTCTGGTCAGGGCGGTGTGTCGGGGGGGGGACTAGGACACATGGGGGGCGGTACTGGTCAAAGGGGGTGTGTGGGAGGGAGACTGGCACTGGGGGGCACTGGGGACGCTTTTTGTCGGGGGGGGGAATGAACACATGGAGGGCTGGTCTGGTCAGGTCGGCGGGGTTGTCGGGAGGGGACTAGGGCACATGGAGGGCTGGTACTGGTCAGGTCAGGCGGTGTGTCTGGAGGGGACTGGAACATGAGGGCTGGTAGGTCAGGTCAGGGTTGTGTCGGGAGGGGGGGCAGGGCCCGGAGGGTGGACGGTCGGTCAAGGCGGTTGTTGTGGAGGGAGACTAGGAAACCCCTGGAGGGGGTGGTACTGGGCAGGGCAGGGGTGTGTCGTGGGGGGAGACAGGGACAGGAGGGTGGTTGGTCAGGGCGGTGTTGTGGAGGGGGATAGGGGGCACATGGGGGGGGTGGGGCTGGAGGCAGCGGTGTGTGTGGAGGGGGACTAGGGCCATGGAGGGGTGGTACTGGTAAGGCGGGTGTGTTGGGGGACTAGGACACATGGGGGCTGGTACTGGGCCCCGGAGGCGGTGTGTGTGGGGGAGACTAGGGGGCAATGGAGGGCTGTTTTGGTCAGGTGGGGGGGGTTTTTCGGGGGGGGAGATAGGGACATGGAGGGTGTAATGGTGGTTTAGGGGTGTGTGTGGAGGGGGAATAGGGCAATGGAGGGTGGTAACGGTCGGAGGGGTGTTTTGGGGGGAAATAGGGCACATGGAGGGCGGTACTGGTCGGGGGGGGGTGGTGTGTGGAGGAGACTAGGGGCACTGGAGGGCTGGGGACGGGTAGCGGTGTGTCGTGGAGGGAGACGGGGGGCACATGGGGGTGGTCGGCAGGTGGGGGTGTGTCGTGGAGGGAGACTAGACCTGGAGGGGTGGTACTGGCGGTGGCGGTGTGTCTGGGGGGAGATAGGGCAATGGAGGGCTGGTACTGGTCGGTCAGGGGGGTGTCGTGGAGGGGGACTAGAGCACATGGAGGGTGGTATGGGGGAGGGGGCGTGTGTCGTGGGGGGACTAGACACATGGGGGGTGTAAGGTCTAGGCGGTGTGTCGGGAGGGGGTAGGGACAGGGGGTGGTATGGGCAGGTCAGCGGTTGGTGGAGGGGAACTGGGGCACATGGAGGCTGGGACTGGGCAGGTCGGCGGTGTGTCGTGGAGGGAGACTAGGGGCACATGGAGGGCTGGTACTGGTCAGGTCAGGCGGTGTGTCGTGGAGGGGGGAAAAAGGGGCACAGGGGGCTGGTACTGGCAGGCAGGGGGTGTGTCGGGAGGGGACTAGGGCAATGGGGGGTGGTATGGTCAGGGTTGTCGTGGAGGGGACTAGACACATGAGGCTGGTACTGGTCAGGCGGGTGGTGGAGGGGACAGGGCCCGGAGGCTGGGACTACTTTTAAATAAAAACAAAGGGGGGGAGGGGAGGTCAGGGGTTTTTCGTGGGGGGGACTAGGACACATGGAGGGGTGGTACTGGTCGGTAGGCGGGGTGTCGTGGAGGGGGACTAGAACACATGGGGGTGGTACGGGGGAGGTCAGGGGGTGTGCGTGGAGGGAGACTGGAGCCTGGGGGCGGTATGGGGTCAGGGGTTTTCGGGGGGGGGACTAGGGAAAAGGGGGGGGGTTTGTATTTGGCAGGTCAGGCGGTTTTTTCTGGAGGGGATAGGGCACCGGAGGGCGGTCGGTCAGGCGGTGTTTCTTTTTGGGGGAGAAGGGGGCCCATGGGAGGGGTTACTGGTAGGGCGGCGGGTGTCGTGGAGGGAGACTGGGCACAGGAGGGCTGGGACGGTAGGTCAAAGGGGTGTGCGGGAGGGAGACTAGGGGGCACATGGAGGGTGGGACTGGGCAGGTCAGGGGGGTTGTGTGGAGGGGACTAGGAAACCCTGGGGGGCTGGCTGGTCAGGTCGGGGTGTGGTGGAGGGAGACTGGGCACATGGAGGGCTGGTACGGCAGGGCAGGCGGTGGTCGTGGGGAGACTAGGGCACATGGAGGGGGTACTGGGCAGGCGGCGGGGTTTTGTGGGGAGATAGGGGGCACATGGAGGGCTGGTACTGGTCTGGCGGTGTTGTGGGGGGGAACAGGACCATGGGGGGGCTGGTATTGGTCAGGTCAGGGGGGGTGTCTGGGGGAGACTAGGAGCCATGGAGGCTGGTATGGTCAGGTCAGGGGGGTGTGGGAGGGGATAGGAAACCCCTGGAGGGCTGTAGGTAGGGAGGCGGTGTGTCTGGGGGGGACTAGGGGGCACATGGGGGGGCTGGGACGGGCGGTCAGGGGGTTTTGTCGGAGGGGCTGGGCCTGGGGCGGTACTGGAGGGCAGGCGGTGGTTCGTGGAGGGAGACTAGGAGCAATGGAGGGTGGTACTGGTCAGGTCAGGCGGGTGGTGGGGGGGAGACTAGGGGGGCACATGGAGGGCTGGGGCTGGTCAGGTAGGCGGTGTGTCTGGAGGGGACGGACACTGGGGGTGGTCTGGTCGGGCGGCGGGGGGTGTGGAGGGGGACTAAGACATGGGGGTGGACTGGGGTCAGGCGGTGTGTCGTGGAGGGGGACTAGGGCACTGGGGGTGGGATGGTTAGGCGGGGTTCTTTGGGGGGGACTGGGACACATGGAGGGCTGGACTGGGCAGGCAGGCGTGTTCGTGGAGGGAGTAGGGAAAAATGGGGGGCTGGTATGGGAGGTCGGGGTTTGGGGTCGTGGGGGGGAAATGGGGCCATGGGGGGCTGGTATGGTCAGGTCGGCGGTGTGTCGTGGGGGAAAAACTAGACACATGGGGGGTGGTATGGGCAGGTCGGCGTTTTGTCGTGGAGGGAGACTAGGGACACATGGAGGGCTGGTACTGGTCAGGTCAGGCGGTGTGTCGTGGAGGGGGACTAGGAGCCATGGAGGCTGGGATGTCAGGCGGGTGTGTGGGGGGGGGATAGGGAACACCTGGACTTATTTTTCCAGGTAAAAGGGGGTGTTGTGGAGGGATAGGACAAGGGGGGGCTGGGTACTGGTCCGGGGGTGTCGTGGGGGGAGACTAGGGCAAGGGGGGGCGGTACTGGTCAAGGCGGGGGTGTTTTGGGGGGAGATAGGGGCAATGGGGGCTGGTACTGGTGGTCAAGGGCGTGTGTCGGGAGGGAGACTAGGACACTGGAGGGCTGGTCGGTCGGCAGGGGTGGGCGTGGGGAGACTAGGGCACATGGAGGGGTGGACTGGGCGTCATGGGGGTGGTCGTGGGGGAGCAGGGCAATGGAGGGTGGGGAGGGGTCAGGCGGTGTTTCTGGAGGGGATAGGGGGCCGGGGGGCTGTACTGGGCAGGCGGGGTGTGCGTGGAGGGAGACTAGGGGGCACAGGAGGGCTGGTACTGGTCAGGGCGGGGTTTTGTCGTGGAGGGGAAAATAGGAAACCCTGGGGGGCTGGTAGGTCAGGCGGGGTGGCGTGGAGGGGGGATAGGGGGCACAGGAGGGGGTGGTCTGGGCAGGTCAGGCGGGGGGTCGGGGGGGAGACTAGGAAACAGGAGGGTGGTAAAAAGGGGCAGGGCAGGCGGTGTGTCGTGGAGGGAGACAGGGGGGCACATGGGGGCTGGTCGGTCAGGAGGGGTTTCGGGGAGGGGGACTAGACACATGGAGGGCTGGGATGGTTTGGCAGGGGGTGTGCGTGGAGGGAACTAGGACACATGGAGGGCTGGTTGGTCAGGTCGGGGTGTGCTTGGGGGAGAAGGGACCATGGAGGGTTATGTCAGGCGGGGTTCGTGGAGGGAGACAGGACCCAAAGGAGGGCTGGGAGGTCAGGCGGGTGTGTGGGAGGGAGACTAGGGACCATGGGGGGGCTGGGACTGGTCAGGTCGGGGTGGGTCGTGGGGGGAGATAGGGACAATGGGGGGCTGGTAGTCAGGTCAGGGGGGGTGTTCGGAGGGGGATAGGAGCACAGGGGGTGGTATGGTCAGGTGGCGGGGGTGTCGTGGGGGGAGACTAGGGACACAGGAGGGCGGTACTGGTAGGGCAGGCGGTGTGCGTGGAGGGGACTGGACCAAAGGGGGTGGTACTGGCAGGTCAGGGGTGTGTCGTGGAGGGAGACTAGGGGCACAGGGGTGGTCGGTCAGGGAGGCGGTGTGCGTGGAGGGGCTAGGACACAGGAGGGGGGTGGTACTGGGAGGGGCGGGTTGTGTCTGGAGGGAGACTAAGGAAAGGGGGCTGGTACTGGGGCAGGGGTTGGGCGTGAGGGGACAGGGAAAGGAGGGTGGTACTGGGAAGGCGGTGGTCGTGGAGGGGGACAGGCACATGGGGGGGGATGGTCGGTCAGGCGGTGTGGTGGAGGAGCTAGGGGAAAAGGGGGGCTGGTACTGGTCAGGTCAGGCCTGGGGCGTGGGGGAGACTGGAGCACTGGGGGGCTGGGACGGGGCAGGTCAAGGGGGTGTGTCGTGGAGGGGGACTAGGACACATGGGGGCTGGTATTTGGTGGCAGCGTGTTCGTGGAGGGGACTAGGACACATGGGGCTGGTACTGGTCGGCGGTTGGTCGGGAGGGGGCAGGAGCACATGGGGGGCTGAATGGTCGGAGCGGTGTGTCGTGGAGGGAGACTAGGAGCACATGGAGGGCTGGTACTGGTCAGGTCAGGCGGTGTGTCGTGGAGGGAGACTAGGGACACATGGAGGGCTGGAGGGACAGTACTGTAATTGAAACCACAGGATGAACAGCAGTCAAAGGGAGGTAGAGCAGAGTCCTGTTTATTATGGCACGTGGTAGCAAAACCTTCTGCAATGGGAAAATGAACGCGAGTGTTTCTTATTGGTCCAAGTCCAGCTAGTCCCTCCCCATTTTCTTCTGTTTGGTGCCTAATGAACACAACCCAGTCACATGGCACAGCAGTGACCTATCTGACCCTAACCGTCACCCTTAAAATACACTTTTAAATAGGTTATGTAATTGCTAATTACTTTCAGAACCAACTACCTACCTAATCATCTCTACCTTCAGAACCAACTACCTACCTTATCATCTCCACCTTCAGAACCAACTACCTACCTTATCATCTTTACCTTCAGAACCAACTACCTACCTTATCATCTCTACCTCCAGAACCAACTACCTACCTTATCACCTCTACCATCAGAACCAACTACCTAGCTTATCACCTCTACCTTCAGAACCAACTACCTACCTTATCCATCTCTACCTTCAAAACCAACCACCTACCTTATCATCTCTACCTTCAGAACCAACTACCTACCTTATCATCTCTACCTTCAGAACCAACTACCTACCTTATCACCTTTACCTTCAGAACCAACTACCTACCTTATCATCTCTACCTTCAGAACCAACTACCTACCTTATCACCTCTACCTTCAGAACCAACTACCTACCTTATCATCTCCACCTTCAGAACCAACTACCTACCTTATCTCTACCTTCAGAACCAGTGTAGCTGGATATTATGACTAGGGTATACTGTATACTACTATTTTTGAGCCTGGTGACAGACAGCGAGAGCCCCCTTCTCTGGTATGTAGTTAATTATGATCCTCACTAGCTGCTTTCTTTTTCACCCTCTCCCTCCATTCACCCTCTCCCTCCATTCACCCTCTCCCTCCATTCACCCTCTCCCTCCATTCACCCTCTCCCTCATTCTCCCTCCATTCACCCTCTCCCTCCATTCACCCTCCATTCTCCCACTAGATGTTGCAAAAGCACACGCTACTCTTGTTGACTAAACATATAGGCTAGTGGTGAGTAGACCGAATGTACTTTTTTCTTCGGCCTACGTAGTGAAGTTAGCTAACATCCCCTTTTCAACATTGTTTTTAAGAGTGTTTAATCACTATTGCTGCTAACAGACATGATGGGACATGATAGCAAAAACCAAGCCATGAGGTCGGAGGAATTGTCCGTAGAGCTCCGAGACAGGATTGTGTCGAGGCACAGATCTGGGGAAGGGTACCAAAACATTTGTGCAGCTTGAAGGTCCCGAAGAACACAGTGGCCTCCATTCTTAAATGGAAGACTCTTCCTAGAGCTGGCCGCCCGGACAAACTGAGGAATCAGGGGAGAAGGGCCTTGGCCAGGGAGGTGACCAAGAACCCAATGGTCACTCTGACAGAGCTCTAGAGTTCCTCTGTGGAGATGGGAGAACCTTCCAGAAGGACAACCATCTCTGCAGCACTCCACCAATCAGGCCTTTATGGTAGAGTGGCCAGAAGGAAGACACTCCTCAGTAAAAGGCACATGACAGCCCACTTGGAGTTGAAGTTGAAGCCCTCTCATTCACACCTTCTCCCGCCAGTCTCCCTCTCCCGCCAGTCTCCCTCTCCCGCCAGTCTCCCTCTCCCGCCAGTCTCCCGCCAGTCTCCCTCTCCCTCCAGTCTCCCTCTCTCTCTATTCACAGTAGATCAGAAGTGTAACTGTTTTAGAGTCTCTGATAATTTCTTCCTTTTCAGTGCTCTGTTTTGGTGTGGATGTTCCATAATGTGCTCTGTTTTGGTGTGGATGTTCCATAATGTGTTCTGTTTTGGTGTGGATGTTCCATAATGTGTTCTGTTTTGGTGTGGATGTTCCATAATGTGTTCTGTTTGGTGTGGGATGTTCCATAATGTGTTCTGTTTTGGTGTGGATGTTCCATAATGTGTTCTGTTTTGGTGTGGATGTTCCATAATGTGTTCTGTTTTGGTGTGGATGTTCCATAATGTGTTCTGTTTTGGTGTGGATGTTCCATAATGTGTTCTGTTTTGGTGTGGATGTTCCATAATGTGTTCTGTTTTGGTGTGGATGTTCCATAATGTGTTCTGTTTTGGTGTGGATGTTCTATAATGTGTTCTGTTTTGGTGTGGATGTTCCATAATGTGTTCTGTTTTGGTGTGGATGTTCCATAATGTGTTCTGTTTTGGTGTGGATGTTCCATAATGTGTTCTGAAGTAACTTTCATGTATTACTGTAGTTTCTGGAAGTAATCTGAAATGCAAACCGTATTACAATGTTATATAGCCTCTGTTTCCTCTGAAAAGACAAATGATTCATGTCTTTCCTTAAATATCCCTTTCCTTTTATAGAAATCTAATCTTATATAAAAGTTGTCCAGAAGAGCAGTTTGTACCAGACGGTATATGGAGGCAGATGTAATGATGAAGTCCGTGGTGTTCCTATGAGTTATCCTGAACTGGGCTGTTCTGTTTCCTATGAGTTATCCTGAACTGGGCTGTTCTGTTTCCTATGAGTTATCCTGAACTGGGCTGTTCTGTTTCCTTTGATATGTCAGGTGGAAATCCCCAGCGGCGGTGCTAAGGTGGTAGGTCTTAATGTCATGTATTAGATCACTCAAAATAACAATAGATGCCTTCCAGGTCGTCACCACATTGATGTATAATAGAAGATTATTGGACCCCAGACTGCAAAAAAAGATGACCTGGAACGCACCCAATTTACTTTATCAATGATCACCAAATACAACTTTTAGTCTTAAAACTAACACTGTTTGGGAACACATTTTAGACTTTGATACACCCTAACTAACTAACGTGACTCACGGGGTGATAAGATGGCGTCATCAGCTGATCATTCTGGGCATGCTCTGTGTGCTCCCTGGGAATAATATCATGGCGGTGGTTTCATAACGTAACGGGTGTGATGTGGTGGTTGGGGAATTGAGGAGCCGCATGCTCCAATAATGGTGTTGTTTCCATGGTAACCCACCACCATCATCATCATCATCATCATCATCATGTGCTGTTGTGCTTAGAAAGAACGGTGTTGTTGGGCTTTAGGTTCACTTATCGATGCTTTGTTAAAGTGATCATTTTCACTTTAATGTGATCGCCTGTCAATATAACGTTTCAACCCCTCTATGTTGTGCCTTTTCATTGCCATGGAGCTTTGTTAAAAGCCTGGTCCTACACCTGTTTTGCATGACAGGGAGTGGTACAAACTGGCTGGTACCCCAGGCTACTTGTTAAAGCTAAACAGCTGTGTGTCTCTGCATCGTGTCTCATGCTCTCTTATGGCTCTGTGTCTCTCTATGTAATCGTTTGTTCTGGTTGCTGTCTGTATGTGGCTTTCTATTCTGTCAGTTCCTCTATTCTAGTGGTCAGAATTTCATCATTATCGTCCCTCTTTTTTCCCTGTGTCCCTAATATGATGCCTCCAAGCGGGGCCGAGAAGCACGGGAAATGGGAAGTATTCCCGGAGCGGGGTAGCTTTTCGCTACTGAAAATTCTCGTCTCTAATTCTTTTATCTATATAAAAGGGGGGAAAGAAAGGGCGTCCTCCCGTCTAAAAGGCTTTCCTTTGTCTCTGTCTCTCTCTCTCTTCACCCTCTTTTATTCTCTTCCCCTCTCTCTTTTTGTCTCTCTATCTTCTTTTCTCTGGTCTTTTGTTGTTTTTTGTTGTCTGCTATCCCCTGGCTCTATCGGGTCTCATTTAAGGAGGGAGGAGTTCTACCCGTAGAGTGTAGGCTTAACAGTAGAAAGAAGGTTTATGGCACATCAGACAGGTTCTGGTCAAAGCTGAGCTGGAGAAGTTCCAACAGTACAAAGACATCTACGACGCGTTGAAGAAAGGAAAGGTGAGAGCTGAGACCTGGGCCTGTCTAGATACTGTACTAGCAGGGTTGAGATCTGGGCCTGTCTAGATACTGTACTAGCAGGGTTGAGATCTGGGCCTGTCTAGATACTGTACTAGCAGGGTTGAGACCGGGCCGTCTAAAATTTTGTACTAGCAGGGGGAGTCTGGGCCGTTTTAGATATGTACCAGCAGGGGGAGAATGGGCCCTGTTAGATCCCGTTTCTAGCAGGGGTTGAGATCGGGCCTGTCTTTGATACGGGACTAGCAGGGGGTTTAGATCTGGGCTGTCTAGGGTACGTACTGCAGGGGTTTAGACCTTTGGGGCCCGTTTAGATACTGTAAGCAGGGGGGTTTAGATTGGGCCCGTCTAGATATGTTAAAAGCAGGGTTTTAGATCTGGGCCGTCTAGATAAGTACTAGAAGGGGGGGAGACCTGGGGGTGTTAGATAATGTACCCAGCGGGTTTTAGACCCGGGGCCCGTTTTTAATAATGTATAGCAGGGTTTAGATTGGGTGCTAAGGGTTAATTTTTAGGAAAGGGGTTTGGGTTGGGTTTTTAGATAATTGTACTAGCAGGGTTGAGGGTTGGGCCGGGAGATACTGGACTAGCAGGGTTGGGGAACCTGGGCCTGTTTTGATACTGTTTAACGGGTTGAGAAATTTGGGGGTTTAAAATAATGTATTAGAAGGGGTTTAGAAATGGGCCTGTCTAGATTTTTTCTGTACCCAGCCGGGGTTTAAGGGGTCTGGGGGCCGGCCTTTAGATAGAGCGGGGTGATCCTGATTTACAGAATGCCAGGGGATCACCCAAAACCAATTTTTAAAAGGGGACAGGGGCGGGCCCCGGGGGCGGCAGGGGAGGGGGGCAACCCAAAAAGGGACCACCCCACAAAACCCAAACAAACACACACCCCAACCCGCCCAACACAACAGGCACACACCCCAAAAAAAACAGCACCCCACCCCAAAAAACCCAAAAAGGGAAAAACCCCAAACCAAAACAAGGGACCACCCCAAAAACCAAAAAAAGGGACACCCCCCCAAACCCAAAAAGGGACACACCCAACAGCACACACCCCCCAAAACCCAAAAAAGCACACACCCCCCAGGGAACACCCCAAACCAAAAAAGGGACACACAAAGCACACACCCCCCAAAAAAAAAAAGGGACACCCAACACAAAACCCCACCCCAAACCAAAAAGGGACACACCCCCCAAAACCCAAAAAACAAAAAACCCCCAAAAAAAAACAGAAAACCCCCCCAAAAAAAAAGCCCCAAAAAAAAAGGCCCCAAAAAAGCACCACCCCAAACCAAAAAAGCAAACAAACCAAAAAAGCACACACAGCACACACCCCCAAACCAAACAGCCCCACCCCAAAACCAAAAAAGCACACACCCCAAACCCCCCAAAAGCACACACCCCAAAAACCCAAAAAAAAGCACAAACCCAACAGCACCAAAACCCCAAAAACCAAAAAAAGCACAACCCAAAAAGCACACCCCCAAAAACCCAAAAAGGGACACACAACAGGGACAAAACCCCAAACCCAAAAAGCACACCCAAAAAGCACACACCCCAAACCCAAACAGCACACACCCCCCAAACCCAAACAGCACACAACCCCCAAAAGCCACACCCCCAAAACCCAAAAAGGGACCACCCAAAGCCCCAACCCCAAACCAAAAAAAGCAAAACCAACATCACACCCCCAAAAAAAAACAGCAAACACCCCAAACCAAAAAAGCACACAAAACCCCCAAAACCCAAAAGCACACCAAACCCCCAAAAAAACAGCACACACCCCCCCAAACCAAAAAGCACCCCACCAAAAAAGACACAAAAAGAACCCCACCCCAAAAACCCCAAAAAACACAACCCCCCCCAAACCAAAACAGCACACAAACCCCCAAACCCAAAAAGAAAAAACCCCAAACCAAAAAGAAACACCCCAAAAGCACAACCCCCAAAACCCCAAAAAGGAACACAAACCCACAAAACCCCAAACCAAACAGCACAACCAAAAAACCAAACCCCCAAAAAACCAAAAACCCCAAAAACCCAAAAATTTACAAAAACCCCAAAAAAACACACCACCCCCGACCAAAAAATCAACACCCCCCCCAAAAAAACACACCCCCAGAAACCCAAAAACACACACCCCAGACCAAAAACACAACCCCCAGACCAAACACCCAACCCAGACCAAACACACACCCCCCAGACCCAAAAAACACACCCCCCAGACCAAAAACACACCACCCCAAACCAAAACACAACCCCAACCCCAAACAGCACACACCCCAAAAACCCAAAAGGGCCCCCACCCCAAAACCCAAAAAGCACACACCCCCAAAACCCAAAAAAGCACACACCCCCAAACCAAAAAAGGGACACACCCCCAAACCAAAAGACACAACCCCAAAAGCAACACCCCAAACCCCAAAAAGGCACACAACCCAAAAGCAAAACCCCCAAAACCCAAAAACACACACCCCAAAAACACACACCCCCCAAAACCAAAAAAGCACACACAACACACCCCACCCCAAACCAAACAGCACAACAACAAACACCCCCCCAAACCAAACAGCAACACCCCCCCCAAAAAAAAGCAACACACACCCCAAACCAAACAGAACACACCCCAAAACCAAAAAAGAAAACACCCCCAAAACCCAAAAAGCACACCCCCCCAAAAAGACACACAGGGACACACCCCAAACCAAAAGGCACCAAAAACCCCCAAACCCAAAAAGCACACACCCCCAAAACCAAAACCCGGCAAACCCCCCCAAACCAAACAGCACACACCCAAAAAAGCAAAAACCCCAAACCAAAAAGCAAACCCAACAGCAACACCCCAAACCCAAAAAGCACACACAACAGCACAAACCCCAAAAACCCAAACCCACACCCAAAAAAAGGCACACCCCCCCCAAACCAAAAAAGCAAACCCCCCAAACCAAACAGCACCAACCCCAAAAAAAAAAAAGGGACACACCCAAAAACCCAAAAAAAACACCCCACCCCAAACCAAACCAAAACCCCCCAGACCAAAAAGCACACCCCCCAGACCCAAAAACCCACACACCCCAAACCAAAAAGGGAAAACCCCCCCAAAACCCCAAAAGCAAACACCCCCAAAACCCAAAAGGGACACAACCCCAAAACCAAACAGCACCCCCACCCCAAACCAAAAGCACACCAAAACCCCAAAACCAAAAAAGCACACACCCCCAAACCAAACAGCACCACACCACCCAAAAAAAAACAAAACACCCCAAAACAAAAACCACAAACCCCAAACCAAAACACCCAAAAAACCCCAAAAAAAAAAACAACCCCCCCAGACCCAAAAAACCCCCACCCCCAAACCCCCAAACACCCCCCCCCAAACCCCAAAAATCACACACCCCAAACCAAAAAAGACACACCCCAGACCCAAAACAAACCCCCAAAAACACACCCACAACCCAAAAACAACACCCCAAACCCAACACACACCCCAAACCAAACATCAACCCCAAACCCAACATCACACACCCCAAACCAAACATCACACACCCCAGACCAAACATCACACACCCCAAACCAAACATCACACCCCAAACCCAACATCACACCCCAAACCAAACATCACACACAACATCACACCCAACATCACACCCCAAACCAATTACCACTGAACTAAATCTAAAGTAGTCTGACTGCATCGTCTTGCAACAGCCCTGTAGCGCTTAATGTCTTTACTTGATCTCTGAAATAACCCTCTTCCTCCTCCTCCTCCTCCTCAGCCCTGTAGCGCTTAATGTCTTTACTTGATCTCTGAAATAACCGTCCTCTTCCTCCTCCTCCTCCTCCTCAGCCCTGTAGCGCTTAATGTCTTTACTTGATCTCTGAAATAACCGTCCTCCTCCTCTTCCTCTTCCTCTTCCTCCTCCTCCTCTCCTGTAGCTGTGTTTCTCCTGTCGGACTAAACGGTTCTCCTTCTTCACCTGGTCCTACACCTGCCAGTTCTGCAAAAGGTACATTTTATATTATAGTTGTATTTATATTACAGTTGTAGCTATTTATATTACAGTTTTATGTATTTTATAGTCAGGGGTTGGAACCAAATCATTTTCAAATCGTTTCGTTCTGAACAGTGTACATTTTTTTGTTCCGACTTGCAAAATAAAGTTCTGAACCAAAAATAGTAGCAATTTACATTGTTCCTTTCTGTTCTTTTTTAAGCCTCTGAAATCAATTATTAATGAACTTGACATGAAATGACTTCACCAATCCCAGCAGATGGAGCAGCTTGCTGTCCTGGTGCTACAGTTGTTTCAGCCTGTAGTTTACATGCGCGATGGACAGACCAGTGCAGGGCGCGAGATGCAACGGACAGTTTGTGGGTGGTGAGAGAGCGAAAGAGGGTGGAGGAGGCTTGAAGCGAAAGCGGGTGGAGGAGGCTTGAAGCGAAAGCGGGTGGAGGAGGCTTGAAGCGAAAGAGGGTGGAGGAGGCTTGAAGCGAAAGAGGGTGGAGGATGCTTGAAACGCTGGCAATATTGTTATTATGACATGCATTATCTGAATTATGCCCACAGAATTAAACCTACGGAGGAGCGGCTTCTATGGAGGACCTTAGAATGTCTGGATTTCAGAGAGTTGGTTTAAAGTTGGACCAGAGTTAGTTAGTTAGTTAGCTAGTTAGTTAGCTAGTTACATTTTCGTCATTTAGCAGACGCTCTTATCCAGAGCGACTTACAAATAGGTGCATTCACCTTATATCCAGTGGGATAACCACTTTACAATGTTATTATATATATATTTTTTATATATATATATATATTTTTTTTGGGGGGGGGGGGGGTAGAAGGATTACTTTATCCTATCCCAGGTATTCCTTAAAGAGGTGGGGTTTCAAATGTCTCCGGAAGGTGGTGAGTGACTCCGCTGTCCTGGCGTCGTGAGGGAGCTTGTTCCACCATTGGGGTGCCAGAGCAGCGAACAGTTTTGACTGGGCTGAGCGGGAACTATGCTTCCGCAGAGGTAGGGGGGCCAGCAGGCCAGAGGTGGATGAACGCAATGCCCTCGTTTGGGTGTAGGGACTGATCAGAGCCTGAAGGTACGGAGGTGCCGTTCCCCTCACAGCTCCGTAGGCAAGCACCATGGTCTTGTAGCAGATGCGAGCTTCAACTGGAAGCCAGTGGAGTGTGCGGAGGAGCGGGGTGACGTGAGAGAACTTGGGAAGGTTGAACACCAGACGGGCTGCGGCATTCTGGATGAGTTATAGGGGTTTAATGGCACAGGTAGGGAGCCCAGCCAACAGCGAGTTGCAGTAATCCAGACGGGAGATGACAAGTGCCTGGATTAGGACCTGTGCCGCTTCCTGTGTAAGGCAGGGTCGTACTCTCCGAATGTTGTAGAGCATGAACCTACAGGATCGGGTCACCGCCTTGATGTTAGCGGAGAACGACAGGGTGTTGTCCAGGGTCACGCCAAGGCTCTTCGCACTCTGGGAGGAGGACACAACGGAGTTGTAAACCGTGATGGCGAGATCATGGAACGGGCAGTCCTTCCCCGGGAGGAAGAGCAGCTCCGTCTTGCCGAGTTTCAGCTTGAGGTGGTGATCCGTCATCCATACTGATATGTCTGCCAGACATGCAGAGATGCGATTCGCCACCTGGTTATCAGAAGGGGGAAAGGAGAAGATTAGTTGTGTGTCGTCAGCGTCGCAATGATAGTTAGTTAGCTAGCTAGTTAGTTAGTTAGTTAGCTAGTTAGCTAGCAAGCAAGCTTGTGTGTGTAGAGCGGCTCCAGAATGAATAACAAGTCTTACCTTTTTGTAGTTAATGAATCCAATGTGAAACGTGATAACTATAGTATCCGCAACTAGCATTGAAACGTTAATACATTCTTCTCTAATTAAAAATCTCTCCCTAATTTCTGAATCACGCTTGTAACGTCAGTACAGTAGGTAGCCTGAACACACTGGTAAAGATGTTCAGCTGACAGACACTGGAATACGTTTCTAAGTGACAGAGGGAGGGCTTTGCATAGGAGCCTTGTGTTCTTTGTGGGATGCCAGGGGGAAAAAATGTCCGGAAGGTAAATTAACGTTATTAACTGGTTCCCGTGCTTTTAAAATAACGTTTCTGTTCCGGAGCAGTATAGATCACTTTCGTTCCTGGTTCTCTTTCTGTTCCTCTAAAAATTTCGTTATTTTACGGTTTTCGGTTCTGTTCCCTGAACCGGTTCCAACCCCTGATGTGAATTATTATAATTATCTTCTACTAAAGAAAATTTCACCCAAAAACGATCTTATAACAGATGTATTTCTGTATTTTGAAAGTTATATATCTTGACAACTTGATTGCTGACATGCAAAACCTTTTTGGACTATATCAACAATGGACTAATGAAACAAATACCAAAAGATAGTTTTTGGGTGGAATTTTCGTTCATAGACAGGCTCCGGAACCTCCCGCTTTGTGCTGGATGTGTCAGTCTATAGTTCATACATGCATAATCTACAGTGGTTTGCGGAAGTATTCACCCCCCTTGGCATTTTTCCTATTTTGTTGCCTTACAACCTGGAATTCAAATGGATTTTTGGGGGGTTTGATTTACATAACATGCCTACCACTTTGAAGATGTAAAATATTTTTTATTGTGAAACAAACAAGAAATAAGACAAAAAAAAAAACAGAACTTGAGCGTGCATAACTATTCACCCCACCCAAAGTCAATACTTTGTAGAGCCACCTTTTGCAGCAATTACAGCTGCAAATCTCTTGGGGGTATGTCTCTATAAGCTTGGCACATCTAGCCACTGGGATTTTTGGCCATTCTTCAAAGCAAAACTGCTCCAGCTCCTTCAAGTTGGATGGGTTCCGCTGGTGTACAGCAATCTTTAAGTCATACCACAGATTCTCAATTGGATTGAGGTCTGGGCTTTGACTAGGCCATTCCAAGACATTTAAATGTTTCCCCTTAAACCACCCGAGTGTTGCTTTAGCAGTATGCTTAGGGTCATTGTCCTGCTGGAAAGTGAACCTCCGTCCCAGTCTCAAGTCTCTGGAAGACTGTAACAGGCTTCCCTCAAGAATTTCCCTGTATTTAGCGCCATCCATCATTCCTTCAATTCTGACCAGTTTCCCAGTCCCTACTGATAAAAAACATCCCAGAGCATGATGCTGCCACCACCATGCTTCACTGTGGGGATGGTGTTCTTGGGGTGATGAGAGGTGTTGGGTTTGCACCAGACATAGCATTTTCCTTGATGGCCAAAAAGCTCAATTTTAGTCTCATCTGACCAGAGTACCTTCTTCCATATGTTTGGGGAGTCTCCCACATGCCTTTTGGCGAACACCAAACGTGTTTCTTTATTTTTTTCTTTAAGCAATGGCTTTTTTCTTGCCACTCTTCCATAAAGCCCAGCCCTGTGGAGTGTACGGCTTAAAGTGGTCCTATGGACAGATACTCCAATCTCCGCTGTGGAGCTTTTCAGCTCCTTCAGGGTTATCTTTGGTCTCTTTGTTGCCTCTCTGATTTAATGCCCTCCTTGCCTGGTCCGTGAGTTTTGGTGGGCGGCCCTCTCTTGGCAGGTTTGTTGTGGTGCCATATTCTTTCCATTTTTTAAATAATGGATTTAATGGTGCTCCGTGGGATGTTCAATGTTTAGGATATTTTGTATAACCATGTGACAGATCACGTGACACTTAGATTGCACACAGGTGGACTTTATTTAACTAATTATGTGACTTCTGAAGGTAATTGGTTGCTCCAGATCTCATTTAGGGGCTTCATAGCAAAGGGGGTGAATACATATGCACACACCACTTTTCCGTTATTTATTTTTTAGAATTTCTTGAAATAAGTAACATTTTTTCATTTCACTTCACCGATTTGGACTATTTTGTGTATGTCCATTACATGAAATCCAAATAAAAATCCATTTAAATTACAGGTTGTAATGCAACAAAATAGGAAAAACGCCAAGGGGGATGAATACTTTTGCAAGGCACTGTATGAGCAGAATTACTGTCTTACCTCACTTAGCTACGAAGTCCCTAGTTTGAAGCGACTGTTTTTCTGGAAGCTGTGCTGCGCCATTTTTCCTACATTTTCCTCCACGTGGGCCAGCCCCCTAGCAATTAGAATTCTAGCCAATGAGCTTCAGCCCCTCGCCATTTGAGTGACAGCTAGCAAGATGCGCACACACAGCAGAGACAGAGAACAATGACGTATCTGCACATATGTGACGTACTAAGCAATTTTCGTTGACCACTTTTGTCTCGTGAGCGCTACTTTCAGGACTACTGGCTAAAAAGAATACAAAATAATATTTTGAGCATTAATCAGAATGAATGTGACTTGTTGTGTGACTGAATATTTCTCTCTCTCTTCAGGCCTGTGTGCTCCCAGTGCTGTGAAAAGGTGAGCCAAAGTCCTCCTTGTCCATTGACCACACTAGCACTTTAATTGTTGACAGATTGCATGTTCAGATTGTCTATATCTGCCCCTCCTAACTCTGTCCTGTTGTTCCAGATGAGACTTCCCTTTAACTCTGTCCTGTTGTTCCAGATGAGACTTCCCTTTAACTCTGTCCTGTTGTTCCAGATGAGACTTCCCTTTAACTCTGTCCTGTTGTTCCAGATGAGACTTCCCTTTAACTCTGTCCTGTTGTTCCAGATGAGACTTCCCTTTAACTCTGTCCTGTTGTTCCAGATGAGACTTCCCTTTAACTCTGTCCTGTTGTTCCAGATGAGACTTCCCTTTAACTCTGTCCTGTTGTTCCAGATGAGACTTCCCTCCAAGCCGTATGCCAACCTGCCCATCTCCTCTCTGGGACCTCCTACCACCACCACCCTACCCAGGGAGGAGGAGGGAGGAGGGACATCAGCCTTGGACACCCCAGAGAAGCCCTCGTCCAGCCATCACCACAGTCTTAGTCTGCGCCGGTCCGTCTCCAGGTTACATTACCATCATTACCTGTCTTTGGGCTTAGGGATGTGACCAATAATGTTGAAACTGCTATTCTTTTTATCGTTTAAACAATAAGAAAAAAATAATTAAATGACATGTGAATTCAGTATGACCGCTAGGGGGCAGTGTAGTTCAATTTACCGCAGTCCTGGCTACCTACCAGACAGAGCTCACCTCACTGCTGTCCCCCACCCACTCAGCAGTGATGGTAGTTAATGCCGTTTTTAGGTTTTCTGCTGTGTGCCTCTCCTCCTTGTTCTCAGGACTTCATGTCCCACTGTCCATCACTGTGATGGCTCGTTGCAGTGATGTAGGACCGCGTGTCCGTAGACGTCCATCACTGTGATGGCTCGTTGCAGTGATGTAGGACCGCGTGTCCATATAACTCCATCACTGTGATGGCTCATTGCAGTGATGTAGGACCCCGTGTCTGTAGACGTCCATCACTGTGATGGCTCGTTGCAGTGATGTAGGACCGCGTGTCCATAGAACTCCATCACTGTGATGGCTCGTTGCAGTGATGTAGGACCGCGTGTCCGTAGACGTCCATCACTGTGATGGCTCGTTGCAGTGATGTAGGACCGCGTGTCTGTAGACGTCCATCACTGTGATGGCTCGTTGCAGTGATGTGGGACCCCGTGTTCATAGACGTCCATCACTGTGATGGCTCGTTGCAGTGATGTAGGACCGCGTGTCTGTAGACGTCATCACTGTGATGGCTCGTTGCAGTGATGTAGGACCGCGTGTCCGTAGACGTCCATCACTGTGATGGCTCGTTGCAGTGATGTAGGACCGCGTGTCCATAGAACTCAATCACTGTGATGGCTCGTTGCAGTGATGTAGGACCGCGTGTCCGTAGACGTCCATCACTGTGATGGCTCGTTGCAGTGATGTAGGACCGCGTGTCTGTAGACGTCCATCACTGTGATGGCTCGTTGCAGTGATGTGGGACCCCGTGTTCATAGACGTCCATCACTGTGATGGCTCGTTGCAGTGATGTAGGACCGCGTGTCCGTAGACGTCCATCACTGTGATGGCTCGTTGCAGTGATGTGGGACCCCGTGTTCATAGACGTCCAACAATTTGTTGTTGTTTGAGAGCTTGCGCTTTGTACTTGCAGAGCAATCATTGTACAATTTCTCCATCTGGACTGTCACGGTTTTTCAACATGGCATCTAGTAGTCTGGTTCTAGATATGCCGTCAGGGTATTGGAGCAGACATCCTCTACCGTTGACAATGGCTGCATATCAACTGCAATCATTTCTGTAATCAGCACTGTGATTTTCTCCCTCTGTCCCTGATCGCACGTCTTTAGTGTGACAAGCCTGTCTGTCTGTTATAGGGGGTCTGCGGTTCTGCCAGCGATGGGTTGGGTCTCACAGTGCCTCTTTCAGCATGTCTGTTATAGGGGGTCTGCGGTTCTGCCAGCGATGGGTTGGGTCTCACAGTGCCTCTTTCAGCATGTCTGTTATAGGGGGTCTGCGGTTCTGCCAGCGATGGGTTGGGTCTCACAGTGCCTCTTTCAGCATGTCTGTTATAGGGGGTCTGCGGTTCTGCCAGCGATGGGTTGGGTCTCACAGTGCCTCTTTCAGCATGTCTGTTATAGGGGGTCTGCGGTTCTGCCAGCGATGGGTTGGGTCTCACAGTGCCTCTTTCAGCATGTCTGTTATAGGGGGTCTGCGGTTCTGCCAGCGATGGGTTGGGTCTCACAGTGCCTCTTTCAGCATGTCTGTTATAGGGGGTCTGCGGTTCTGCCAGCGATGGGTTGGGTCTCACAGTGCCTCTTTCAGCATGTCTGTTATAGGGGGTCTGCGGTTCTGCCAGCGATGGGTTGGGTCTCACAGTGCCTCTTTCAGCATGTCTGTTATAGGGGGTCTGCGGTTCTGCCAGCGATGGGTTGGGTCTCACAGTGCCTCTTTCAGCACTGCACCTGGACTGCCACTGTAGCTCAATTCCACCTTGCAAAGTTTTCCACCTTCACTTTTTACTTCTCAAAGTATACATCCCTGTTACGTCCCTGTTACGTCCCTGTTACGTCCCTGTTACGTCCCTGTTACGTCCCTGTATCCCTGTTACGTCCCTGTTACGTCCCTGTATCCCTGTTACGTCCCTGTTACGTCCCTGTTACGTCCCTGTTACGTCCCTGTTACGTCCCTGTTACGTCCCTGTTACGTCCCTGTGACGTCCCTGTGACGTCCCTGTTACGTCCCTGTTACGTCCCTGTATCACTGTTACGTCCCTGTTACGTCCCTGTTACGTCCCTGTATCACTGTTACGTCCCTGTTACGTCCCTGTTACGTCCCTGTTACGTCCCTGTATCGTCCCTGTTACGTCCCTGTTACGTCCCTGTATCACTGTTACGTCCCTGTTACGTCCCTGTATCCCTGTTACGTCCCTGTTACGTCCCTGTATCACTGTTACGTCCCTGTTACGTCCCTGTATCCCTGTTACGTCCCTGTATCCCTGTTACGTCCCTGTATCCCTGTTACGTCCCTGTATCACTGTTATGTCCCTGTTACGTCCCTGTATCACTGTTACGTCCCTGTATCCCTGTTACGTCCCTGTATCCCTGTTACGTCCCTGTTACGTCCCTGTATCCCTGTTACGTCCCTGTATCCCTGTTACGTCCCTGTTACGTCCCTGTATCCCTGTTACGTCCCTGTATCACTGTTACGTCCCTGTTACGTCCCTGTATCCCTGTTACGTCCCTGTATCACTGTTACGTCCCTGTTACGTCCCTGTATCCCTGTTACGTCCCTGTATCCCTGTTACGTCCCTGTTACGTCCCTGTTACGTCCCTGTATCACTGTTACGTCCCTGTTACGTCCCTGTTACGTCACTGTTACGTCCCTGTTACGTCCCTGTATCCCTGTTACGTCCCTGTATCAATCTGCCATTTTCCCAACTGTTAACGACGATGACGTGCGGAACGCTTTATATCCGTGGCAAATCATTGTAAAGATTCAGATCTCCTCCTACTAATGTTACAGCATTGTTGCATTAGGTATTTGTTTAATTTGTATTTTCCCTTTATGATAGTGATCGGGGACCTGTTAGTGGTAGTTCTGTGATAACTGCACTATGATTAACATTTTGTGGGGAAAAACAAACACGTTTTTCTGTTAGGGATTTATTCTAAACGTTCACACCCCTAGTTACGTTCCATTACATCATTCCAGTGACCGACGGCAGTGAGAGGGTTGATTTCACTCCAGTGTCCCTGAGAGAACAGAGTTGACTGGCATCAAAATGGATGGTTGAATTGAATGATTTCAGTTTAAATCTTGTTGGTCAGAACAGAGCTAGGTGATTGGCTAGGGACCTGCTCTTGTTGGTCAGAACAGAGCTAGGTGATTGGCTAGGAACCTGCTCTTGTTGGTCAGAACAGAGCTAGGTGATTGGCTAGGGACCTGCTCTTGTTGGTCAGAACAGAGCTAGGTGATTGGCTAGGGACCTGCTCTTGTTGGTCAGAACAGAGCTAGGTGATTGGCTGCTCTGCTTAAATAAAGGAAGTAGTAAAACTGACGCTCTTGAAGTCTGTCAGGTTGTAAATGGGAATTAGTTCTCACCTGGTTAAAGAAAGATTAAAGCGAAACCCTCCCTTCTCTCCACCCCCAGGTTATCCAAACGCAAAAGTGAGGGGTCTCGTGACGAGCCAGACCTGGATCTTCCCATGGAGCTGACAGAGGACTGGTGTACCATGGAGCTGACAGAGGACTGGTGTACCATGGAGGTCTGCATCGACTGCAAGAAGTTCATCTCTGAGATCATCTCCAGCAGCAAGCGCTCTCTGGCCACCAAGCGAGCCCGTCTGAAGAGAAAGACCCAGTCCTTCTACATGTCTTCAGCTAACACAGACGACTACAGACCCTCTGAGAGGACCGTCAACGAGGTTTAGACTACAGACCCTCTGAGAGGACCATCAACGAGGCTTAGCGTTAGACAGATGTTCAGTCCATGAGTTGTGGAAGAGACAGCATGGGTTCTCTTCCCCAAACCCCTAGTCTCAGGAACGATTGGATTGGTGTATTGCTGCAGCTGTGGACGGACGACTAGCTAGCCGTTGACAGGAAAACTCACTCACAGTATAATAGTCCATGAATAAAGTATCTGCCACAGGATTGATGAGCTATTAGAATACTGAACCATGTCTTATTCTCTCACGTTATGTGATTAACCCTAATATACTGAACAACAATATAAAGCAACTGAGTTACAGTTCATATAAAGAAATCAGTCAATTGAAATAAACTCATTAGGCCCTAATCTATGGATTTCACATGACTGGGCAGGGTGCTGCCATGGGTGGGCCTGGGAGGGCATAGGCCCACCCACTGGGGAGCCAAGGCCAGCCAATCAGAATGAGTTTTTCCCCCACAAAAGGTCAGACAGAAATACTCCTCATGCGCTCACTAACAGGGATGTAAACACATTTGTGCACAACATTTGAGAGAAATCAGCTTTTTGTGCGTACGGAACATTTCTGGGATCTTTTATTTCACCTCATGGAACATGGGACCAACACTTTACATGTTGCGTTTATATTTTTGTTCAGTGTATTTTAGGGGACTTGGAAGGAGGGGGACCAATCAGACAGCTGCTGAGGTGGAGCCAAGCCAAGATAATATATATTTAACAATAGTAGTGTGGTCGGTCGGTGAGACCACTAGTGAGTGTTAATAACGTCCAGAGGTGAGCTGTTAATAAACTAACGTCCAGTTTCTGTCGGACTCAGGAAGAACAGACCCATAGTTTACGTCCCAAATGTCACCCTGTTCCCTACATAGTGCACTACCTGGTCTAACAGATAATGCTCTATAGATCCATCCGTCAGGTCTTAACAAGGCTAGTTTCCATAGTAACAGAATGCCTTTAGTGGACGTGCAATATGGTCGTCTCTGCCACTCCCCAGCCAATAGAATTAAACCAAATGTTTACACTACTACACATTTTGTTGCCAGCTTCTTTTTTTTTTTCATCTTTTTTTGTCTTCTAAAATTGGATTGGCTGGGAAACAGGGTGAGGTCAGAGGTCAAATGATCTGGTGCGTTTTAGCCACTATTATGTATTTGTATTATTTCTGTGCCCTGGTGCCAAACTAAACGCCCCCTCCTGTCTGAATGCTACGTCATTGGATGGACCTGTAGAATATTGTAAATAACTTGATGAGGAAGTGATATGGGGATTCTAGACGCAGAATATATATATATATTTTTACAGGTTTTCTTTGTCAGAATGGGGGGATATGATTGTGTAAATGCTTTATCCAAAATCATCCAAACATCCATGATCTATTAATATATTATGTTTTTCCATTAATATTATCTGAAAGATTTTTATTTCTTTAGTAATGTAATATTGACTTTATCTCTTGTCTTGATCAGACCAGATCAAATAGTCCTCCTCGACCCGTCAGGTCTGAATAGCACTTTAACTGGACCAATGTATTGTTGTTTTGAAGTTCCTTCTCTTTATTCATTTAATTTCTTAATCTTTTGTTTGTTCCGCGTCGAAGTTCCACAGTGCGGTGAGATGGGATCCTAGGGTTAATCCTGTGTGTGTGTTGGAGCTTGGGGATTGGTAGCAGGTGTCAGCAAAACACAGCTTTCTGAATGTACAGGGTATAATGTTTTTAAAATATCTTATTTCAAGTGCAATCTAAATCTGCATGCATAGAATTTTAATGCCCCCTTTAAATTATATTTTTTCACACACTATCCATGCATAGTCTGCCTATCCACAACACATGGACGTAATGTCATTCATACGCATACATACTAATCCTATTCATACAGACACACACCCAATATGCAATTTGTAATTGATTTATTTTCTGACCCCTTGTGCCAACTTCGGTAGAAAGATCAGAACTGGAACAAGTTTGACATTACCATCGTCAATATCAACCTCCCATAAAATATTAAATTGGACCAATATGGATACCAGTGAGGATGAAATGGTGTGCATGCTATAATGTATTTTTATTTTTTAAATGGCAATAAAATGATCTGTTTGAATTCTGTGTTGTAGGATTTCTGCTCTGCACGCGACATGGTTGACGTCCCTCCTTAATACATGACAGTATCGTGTATGTCAGGTGTCAGTTCAACAGTAAAAGAAAAGCATCCCAACTTGAGATGTACACAACTGAAAGGTCGTTTTAAAGTAGTGGATATCAGCCATGGATATTTTTATTATTTTTTAAATCTTTATTTTTATAGTGAAGTCGTACTGAGACTAGGGTTACAGATGAGTCCTGCATAAATACATCAAACATATATAAAAAAATAACAAAACCTTAAAAACTGACACATTTATCAACATAGAGCTCTCTGATCATTACTCTGAACTGACCCAGGGGGACCAGAACATCTCAATTCAGAGATCTCTGTTGTTCTACATAAAGGGCTCAAAAAAACTACAAACAGCCCAGACCTCACAGCCCAGCTCTGTGGAGACCGAAGGGGCCTCCAGTGTTATCCTTACCTCACAGCCCAGCTCTGTGGAGACTGAAGGGGCCTCCAGTGTTATCCAAGCCTGAGACCGGGTTTGGTCGTTTGTAAGTCTAAATTGAATTAAAGATGATAGATGCATAGGACGTTTCTGCATGAGCGCTTTGGAGATAAACACGAGAATGCTGCTCCCTCCTTACATACAAAGAGGCCCAACTCACTTTTTGATACAAAACACAATGGTTCTAGAACCATCACCAGTAATAAACCTAAGGGCCCAATGGAAAACAGTATCTAGCGGTTTAAACGTTGGTTTTAGACATTTCTTTTTTTTAATCCAGTCCAGAAACACTCCAAACAGCCTACCCGACGGCTCGGAGGATCCGCATGGTCCTAAAGCACACTCTCCCTGCAGTGAAAGTTGCGCCCCTGGGGTTAAGTGTCGATGCTATACAGTGCATTTGGAAAGTATTCAGAAATTGGATTAAATTAAAATGTTCCTCATCAATCTACACACAATACCCCATAATGACAAAGCACATTTAAAAAAAAAATGGATACCTTATTAACATAAATATTCAAACCCTTTGATATGAGACCCAAAATTGAGCTCCGGTGCATCCTGTTTCCACTGATCATCCTTGAGATGTTTCTACAACTTGGTAAATTAAATTGATTGGACATGATTTGGAAAGGCACACACCTGTCTATATAAGGTCCCACAGTTAACAGTGCATGTCAGAGCAAAGACCAAGCCATGAGGACGAAGGAATTGTCCGTAGAGCTCCGAGACAGGAACCAGAGAACTGGGGAAGGGTACCAAAAAATGTCTGCAGCATTGAAGGACCCAAGAACACAGTGGCCTTCATCATTCTTAAATGGAAGAAGTTTGGAACCACCAAGACTCTTCCTAGAGCTGGCCGCCCGGCCAAACTGAGCAATTGGGAAGAAGGGCCTTGGTCAGGGAGGTAACCAAGAACCCGATGGTTACTCTGACAGAGCTCCAGAGTTCCTCTGTGGAGATGGGAGAACCTTCCAGAAGGACAACCATCTCTGCAGCACTCCACCAATCAGGCCTTTGTGGTAGAGTGGCCAGACGGAAGCCACTCCTCAGTAAAAGGCACATGACAGCCCTCTTGGAGTTTGCCAAAAGGCACCTAAAGGACTCTCAGACCAGGAGAAACAAGATTCTCTGGTCTGATGAAACCAAGATTGAACTCTTTGGCCTGAATGCCAAGCGTCACGTCTGTAGGAAACCTGGCACCATCTATACGGTGAAGCATGGTGGTGGCAGCATCATGCTGTGGGGATGTTTTTGAGCGGCAGGGGCTGGGAGACTAGTCAGGTTTGAGGGAAAGATGAACGGAGCAAAGTACAGAGAGATCCTTGATGAAAACCTGCTCCAAAGCGCTCAGGACCTCAGACTGGGACGAAGGTTCACAATTCAATTAAATTTTGGTTATGGGACCAAGAAAAAAAGCATGCATTTTAGTATTTTATTTTTGTATTTAGCACTAACTTTAGATCCAAGAGTGACCTCTGCAGTGCTTGAAAATCAGACTTCAAATGTGAAAAGGCTTGGCCAACCGATGGAGTAAGGGAATACAACACTGTATCTGCATACAAATGAATATATATTTTCTACAGCATTACCAATGTTATTTACAGTAGAACCTTGGGGTTTTATGGAACTCAAAGAACTCAGATTTGACCCCAACTACCTTGATGGTTTCTGTCATTGAGATACTTTTTTATATATAGTATAGTATATGTGGACACCCCTTCAAATTAGTGGATTCTATTTCAGCCACACCCATTGCTGACAGGTGTATAAAATCGAGCACACAGCCATGCAATCACCATAGACAAACATTGGCAGTAGAATGGACTTACGGAAGAGCTCAGTGACTTTCAACGTGGCACCGTCATAGGATGCCACCCTTCCAATGAGCCAGTTTGTCAAATTTCTGCCCTGCTAGAGCTGACCCGGTCAACTGAAAGTGCTGTTATTGTGAAGTGGAAACGTCTAGGAGCAACAACGGCTCAGCCGCGAAGTGGTAGGCCACACAAGCTCACAGAACGGGACCGCCGAGTGCTGAAGCGCGTAGTGCGTAAAAATCGTCTGTCCTCGGTTGCAACACTCACTACCGAGTTCCAAACTGCCTCTGGAAGCAACGTCAGCACACGAAATGTTAGTCGGGAGCTTCATGAAATGGGTTTCCATGGCCGAGCAGCCGCACACAAGCCTAAGATCACCATGCGCAATGCCAAGCGTCGGCTGGAGTGGTGTAAAGCTCGCCGCCATTGGACTCTGGAGCAGTGGAAAAGCGTTCTCTGGAGTGATGAATCACGCGTCACCATCTGGCAGTCCGACGGACGAATCTGGGTTTGACGGATGCCAGGAGAACGCTACCTGCCCCAATGCATAGTGCCAACTGTAAAGTTT